CAATTGATTTCAGCTGAAAGCCAGTGAATAAGTGACAGGAATTAAGTCAAGTGTATGCGGATTCCCATTGAAAAAAGCATAGAATCCGTCAACTATTGGTGTGTGAGGGTTATACACATATCATAACCTACTATTCCCTGTGATTCAGCATAAGATCAATGCGAGACTTTCTGTCAATTTAATTATCATTTGGTGGTAATCTATACCTATTTTCCAAAAAAATGGCAAACAATACAAATGGTATTGAAATGAATAAATTGGATTCAATGGATGCGAATAAGACGGATGTGAACAATAGTTACAGCAATACATACAAACAGATCACCACTTGGATCCTCTTCTACTGTGCCTTCACTTATGTATGTATTTTGTAAATTAATTTCATTTTGGTCTTGATGAATGCAATTAAATGAGATATGACTGCATATGATAGGGACTGACCACTTATATAATCGGTCCGGCATTAAATGATATGACCATTAAATTGGACACCACGACCGATAATATAACCATCGTATTGGGCTGTATATTAGTTGGCTATACTTTGGGTGCTATTATTAGTAAGTATTATACCGTTACTGTAATTGTTTTTATAAATCTAGACATTCTTAACATTAACAAATATTATTAAAACATAATTAATAATTAAAATACAATAAATGTTAACGTAATTACACATTATTGACTAACTAGTGTATAAATTACTGGGATTTCTTAATTTAATCAATGCTGACATTTGTTTATCAATTTTTTTTGGTGTCTTATCATAACTTTATCGTCATTTTAGTGCTAAAAACTTAAGTCTTTCTGTTCATATTACATAAGTACATAACACAACATTGCCTTATAAGTATAATTTATTACCTTTTTATTATATGAACAATAGGCGGAATAATATTTAATTATGTGAATCGACAACTGGTGCTGACATGCCTACTGGCCGTAATGGCCTGTGCCATCACACTGGCCCCGCACGTGCCCAACATTGGACTCCTTTATACGGACGGATTTTTCTGTGGTTTTGGTGCTGGAGGTCAGGCATTAAATGTCAAATTTTGCTAACTTTCTGCACATTAGACTGAAAAATACTATGGATTTGTTTTAATATGCTGTAAACCGATCAAAATAGTTATCATTTTTTAGTCAAATTATAAAGCATAAATCAGTAGCAATTAATATTAAATTTTCACTACTAAACTATTTAGGTTTCGATACGGCACAGGTAGTCTGGCTCATAGAGTTATGGGCCGACAAATCAAGCATTTATCTACAAGGCATGCAATTTTTCAACGCTTTGGGAACATTCATATCGCCGCTAATGTCGGCGCCGTTTTTGGCCGAAAAGATTGAAAACCACACCAATTCTGTCGATACATACGATATCTCAACTCATTTTCTAAACATATCCAGCAATGAATTCACAACTCATACACCAAAAGAGGTCGATATATACACGAAATCTCGAATCGAGATACCCTTCGGAATAGTCGGCGCTTTACTGCTCACCTCTGGCCTACTATTACTAGTCTTACACTTTTATAGACGATATACACCACCACCTGATCAGGAGGACGACTTTTCGTGCCGGTGTCCCGACAAGTGGACAGTCATATACATAATCCTCGGTTTACTTACATTAGCCCCATATGTAGGCATGGAGGTCATGAACTTTCAATTGATCACCACGTTTGCCAAGTACTCGCACCTACACCTCACCGGCAGTGACGCGGCACTCGTCCAGACCATAATGGCCGGTGCTTTCGCCCTATTCCGAGGCATTAATTTCATCATATCTATCAAGTATTGGTCGGAAAACATTATATTCGCAAACATTATCGTCATAATCGTCGGCAATATAGTGATGGTATTGTTTGAAGTGAACGGATACTCGCATACTGTGCTATGGATTGGTGTTATCATAACGGGAACGGGATTTTCGACGGTGTTTGCGTCGGTTTACGCCTTTCTGGAGAAACATTTGACGATATCTAACGCCATCGGAGGTCTGTGTGTCTGTGCGAGTGGCCTAATGGCCGCACTTTTGCCCACACTTTGCGGTCAATTCATTGAAGACAATCCGTTGGCATTAGTTTATCTAAACCTCATTTGTACGACAATTATCGGCATTTCGTTTACTATATTTAAAGCGATTATCTATTTTAGGTCTAAATCCAATTCAGGCGCTATTTATTGAATAATGTTTTGAAAGTATAGATTGTTTTATAAATATGTCATAATTATGTCGACTGAAGTGAAATGTATTTTTTTTATAAACACTTATTTTTTTATAAATGTTTTAATTACTGAAACTGTGATATCATATGATTCTTGAAATAAATATTTGTTTTGTTTCTAATACAAAGTTATAATTTATTCAAATAATAATTTTCATGACAAACAATGGCTTATCTGCGACCAGACCTACTTGAACAAAAATATCAAAATAAATATAAATATCTGTTGAAAGATTTTAAAACCCATTACTACGGATTTTTATAGTTAAACCATTTAGAAATTATAATCATTATATTAATCTTAAATAAAGGCTTAATTATAAAAATGATATAATGAGTATTTATAATAACGAATAGATATTGTGTTTATTTCATAAAATACAATAGTTTTCAAACATTAATAACACATTGAAATTTATACAGAATATTAGAGTAACTTAACATTAAATAATTTATGTATAAATTGATTTGGAAATGCAATTATAAATCATATTAAGAAACAACTTTTGGCCTCACGTTTGACTGTAATGAGAAATTTAGCATCATCAACAACTACCATAATATTAATGTTAGCATTGTAGCGATGGACACTCAGTGGTATCGGAATAATGACTGGCACTGATCCGACATATGTCGTGACCTGCGCTCACACTATAGAGGATGATGTGTTGACACCCGTAACCATTCACCGGTTTTATGACGTTGACCCGGACCCCGGACCCGGACTTTGGTTGCCTCACAAGGGATATGTGGCTTATATGGAGCGGGAGATTGACTGCGCGCTCATACGAGTGCCCGAAGGCCTGAGGGACTCCTATTTCAGTGAACTGGTCACCAAATTCTCGCCGCAAGGAGTGAAAGTAGGCCAACATTTGGTGGCAGTCGGCAATCGGGACATAGACTATTGTATATGCGATGGAGTTGTCAAATGTGTGGATATGGAGTACGGGTCCTTTAGTCGCGGCAGTTATCATATGTGGCCGAATAATCACGAACCAAGTAATCGCTATGTTATGCAAACTATTCACACGTATGGAGGCTTTTCCGGTTGTGCGGTGTCTGATATAGAGGGACAGGTGGTTGGTATGAATACGGCCAGTGATAGGGAATTTAATAAAGGATTTGACATTCCATACAACGATGTTGTGAAGGGTTTGTACAGTATTTTCATGGGTTATAACCAGTGATCGTAACGTCAGTTCATATAATGAGATGTTTTTATCATTTCTTAAGATTTCATTCAAAGAAGGATTGAATTCGACGGACAACAAGACAATGACGAAGACATTGAGGAGCGACACGATATTTTCCGACATTTAATATGTTATAAATGTCGAAAAACTATTGTATTTTATGAAATAAACAAATTTAGATTTTTATTCATTATTAAGTACACTGTATCAATTATTAATTTAATATAAAATAAAAAGGTTTATACTAATGTAATATAATTAATTCTAGACTTTATGTTCCTAGTATGTTACTAGCTAGTGTAACTACTGAACTGTTCATTCATTCAATGAAATACAGATAATAATTCTGTATAATAACTTGTTATCATTGCAATTAATCTAACATTTTTCATCGCCTAATTGAAGTGGACTATTCATTCGTAAGATTTGAATAATGAGAAATCATTAGAGAAAGTATTTGTTTGATTTTATTGAAAAGACAATATTCATACACAGAATATTCTGTAGTAATATATCGACTATTGAGACAAACCATTAGCAAAATATATAATATAATGATAGAGAGCGCGGAATATTCTTTAGTAATAGAGTTATTGCTATAAAGAACTAAATTCCTGAACACTTATCCATCATTGATGGGAAAGTAGGTCCCATTAAATAATAAGAGCACCGGAATCTCTAATACAGATTCTGTATGTGTTTGCGCAGGCGGTATAATGAATGCCATACTATGCCTGTCATACACCACCAATGCATTCATATTCTGCTCTTATTCCTAATGTAAGTCAATGTTATTCTGTATATAATTCTCGTGTCTTTGTTTACAAACATTTAATTGTATTATTTGTATGATTTAAAAGTGCATATGAAATGTAATATTATATAAATAATTATTTAAAAATTATCAATATATTTTCATACCAAATAAATTTTAATAACGAATTATATATGAATTATTTTGATGCAAATTGTTTTCAATTACTGAAATATATTTTAACAGTGTTGGTTTTGTAATAATTGACAAATTTTTTAAAAATGATTAATGTAATAAAACTAGTCTGAATGTCTAATAATATACATAAAATGTGACTTTTCGGGTAAAATTTTATATAATAAAAATTTTTGCAAATCACTGGTTGTGTTCAACGTTATATAAAATACTGGATAATAACCAGGCTCTCACAGTAAGGTAAGCCAAATGACATTGAAAATGAAGTTCAAAGTCAACCCTTATTTAAACCCCTATATAGAGACACATAAATTAAATATTTTATTTTAGTAATCAATTTAAAATCTATTTTAATGTATAAGACAGTCTTCCCTCTATTTTACTGATAATCTATAATAAAATGTTTAATATATTCATTACACTGAATGACATTACATTATAATTATATGATGGGAACATTTAATTTCCCAAATATAGATAATCATTTATTATGTAAATTGAATCAATGGGTTCCTATTTAAAGGGTTATCAATGAGAGCTATATTAGTATTTAGGCATTTATTATACGGTGAATGAATTTGATTCCTTATAATACATTCTCATTAATATTGTTTGTTACACAAATTATTGAACCAAATCTGTGGGATAATAATAATAGGAAATTGTTATATAAATTTATATACAGTAATAACTATACTAAGTTAATATTATAATTTTATTATGTTATAAAACATTAATAATATTCAGTGATATATTCATACAAATACATTATATTTAACTTTTACACAACTCATCACAAACTATAAGAATTATATATAAGACGACATTTGTTTGAACACAATATCGATCTGTAGGTAAAACTCATGTAATGATATTAATATTATACTATTATTAATAATAAGTTATTATTATATGAAATATAATCCATGAATTGTACTAAATAACAATTTTTGTTTTGAATATTAGATAATAGCGACACAAATATACAGTGAATAATGCATTTGGAAGTATCAATAAAGGACCCGAAAGACGGTAGGGTTCATGTGGTCCAGGAGTTGACTACAAGTTATAAACAGTTGATTACATGGACTCTATTCTTCTGTACGTTTTCTTACGTGAGTCTCAAAACCCCAAATGATTTATAAATTAATTATTTCTCATAACTAATACAATTTGGGAATTAAGGGAATGGTGTTGAGTATCATAGGACCGGCATTAAGTGATTTGACACATAGAATGAATGCCACCACAAATGAAATGACAATTATATTCTCTACATTCTCCATTGGCTACACTGCCGGTGCACTTATAAGTATGTCTAAATATTTTATAAATTATATAATTATTAATCATAAAAATATTTTCCCTAATAGACGGCATATTTTTCAACATGTATAACCGGCAAATAATAGTAGCATTTCTACTGGTACTCATGGGAGTAACTATTGCGGGAATACCCATTTGTTCAAACCTACCAATATTATACAGTGTAGGAGCTCTATGTGGGTACGGGTCTGGAGGTTAGTCACAAAATAATTACTTTTTTATAATTAATTTTAAACAAAAACAATGTAACCATAGGTTTAGACACAGCACTGGTCGTATGGATTGTGGAAATATGGACCGAAAGATCTCACTTATACTTAGGAGGCGTTGAGTTCTTCTTTGGTCTCGGCTTATGTGTGGCACCAATGATATTGAGGCCATACCTACCGGACTTTCATTTTGACGACACTTTCATAAATACCAACCTAACTATGAACTCATCAAACATAACAGACTATAACAATAGCACGAATAGCAACACACATATCGAGCCTCAAATCGAGATCCCATTTGCCATAAACGGCTTATTTCTAGTGGTCTCCGCGATTCTGCTATTAATACTCCACTGCTATCGACCGTATAAACATCACACACACCACAGTCATCACCCGCACAAAAAGTTTCACGATCATTTCAAAATGCCCGAGAAGTGGCCACTCATATACACCACGTTCGGTGTGTTTATAATCGGTATATTCTACGGCTTCGAGTTCATGGTGTTCGAGCTGTTGCCCACATTCATCGAGAAGTCATACCTCCAGCTGTCGGCCTATAAGAGTGCCCTCATATACGCCATAGGGACGGCCACATTCACGGCCGCGCGCGGCCTAAACGTGTTGGTGTCCATCAAGTTTTGGTCGAAAAACTCCATTTATTTGAATCTAATTCTCATCATAATTGGAAATATTATTCTCGTTTTGTTTGAAACTCACGAATATTCCGAAACCGTATTAATAGCCGGCGTTGTTGTGTTGTGCGTCGGTTTGTCCACTACTTACCCATCGATTTATGCGTTTCTTGAGTCCCAGCTATCATTAGGAAATACTGTGGGAGGTATATGTGTTTGCAGCGCCGGTATTATGGGAGCTATATTTCCAGCTGTTTGTGGACAGTATATAGATCTTCAGCCCATATCCCTGTTGTATATGACTATTATATTGGCGGCAATTGTATTAATTTTATTCACAACATTTAACGTTATTATTTATAAAAGATCAAACATGCATGTTTAATTTTTATTTCATTATGAAACGAAATGAAAGTACAGTTTTGCAATATATAATATTCTTAAAGTAGTAAAATCACTATTTTAATAATTTTATATTTATTTTAAGTAAATTGTTATTTATTAAAATATTTATTTTTAATAGTAATTATTTAATAATTGTTCAATATAATCTGCTGTTATCACTTAAATCATAAATTTTATTAATAAACTAATTACCAATTTATATAAATCAAGTAAAACTATTTTTAAAATAAAAAATAATATTATGCACACCTTCAAATTAAAAATTTAAATGTTTGTTTAATTTATATTTATTGTCAAATTAAACTAATATAAACAGTTATTGTGTTATAAAACTATTGAATAAAATAATTTTAAAAGTTAAATACTTAATTTTAAAAATAATTTGCAATTAATTATATAAAACTTAAAATAAAGTCCACATGATGTTTATAAACAAATTATAAAATTAATAAGCTATTTTATTAAACATTTATTTTACATATTAAAGTTATGTAATATAGTTTTGTAAACGTAACACTTGTGTAATATAGTTTTGTTTGCCAAAAAACTTAAATTTATTTTATTGCCAATGACTTAACACAAAGATTTTTAAAGGTATTAAAATATAAAATCTCTTTCTAATGTAAATTCATATATTAAGTCAATTTCTTAATGTCAATTATTTGTAATTTAACAAAATAAACATAATAAACATTAATTTATACAATATTAATATTAATGTGTATGTTTTTGTTACTCAAATACGCACAAAAACCCTATTTATAAATACATAATTAAAACAATACTGTCATTAAATTATAAACTATTAAAATTAATTATTAATATAAAATTAATTAAAATCATTATGTTTTGATATAAATAGAAAATCTCAAGTTGTCTAGTAAGACTTAAAATTTTTATTAATGCAATGACTAACTTAATAATTAATAACTATACGGAATATAAAAATATCATTTAATTGTTATTTATTATTGTATTTATATTGACTGTGACTTAAATATATTTAATTGTTTAAGTTTTTGTATTTTTAATAATACATAAAATTAAAATGAAGGAAAGGAGGGAAAGTAATTTATATATTATTCAAGAATTGAGTTATGGTTATAAACAAATAATAACTTGGACATTGTTTTTCGCAGCTATATCTGATGTAAGTATTAATATTTTAAATAATTTCTTTATTGTTTTAATTAATTTGTATTAAAAAATATATTAAAGGGAATGGTACTGAGCATAATAGGACCGGCTTTAAGTTATCTGACATCCAGATTGAACACCACCACAAATGAAATATCCCTGGTATTTACATATTTTGCAATTGGATATACAGTTGGAGCCG